GCGCTGTGCGCGCTGTGGCGCGCGGGCGGCGGCGCGGCCTGCGCGCCCCGCTGCCTGCACGGCGGCCTCTGCGTCCGCAACGGCAYCTGCCTCTGCTCCAAGGGCTACGAGGGCGAGCGCTGCCAACACGGTAACCGGGCCCGCGGCAGCCGCACACGGACTGCTCCGCGCTGGGCTGCGCGGCGGGCTCCGCGGCAAACGGCGCCCGAGCCCTGGGCTTCGCGGGCGGTTCGCGGGACACAGGGAGCATCTTCAGGGATGCAGATCTGTTGCTGGGTGCAGGAGGCGGCGGGGATGTTCCCTGCATCAGGACTGCCTGGTTTTGTAAGGAAGCTGCTGGTTGCTCCTCTGAAAAAGTCAGAGTTGTAGGGGAAAATAATGGATAAATGAAACCCTTCCTTTCTTGTTCTGGCCACACGTTATCGGGATAAGTTGCTTTTCCTCCTCTCTGATGCAAAATAAAACCCATCAGAGAAGGGTGGAACAGGTCTGTGTAACTGTGTGTGGGACTCAGTTTTTGTGCGGGAGGTCAGTTTTTGTGCAGGTCAGGGAGGCGTTGCAACTGTTTTGGCGAGGTAAACTGGGCATAAGGAAATGGTAAGTGCAGCGTGTAGTCTCTGAGTTTCAGGACACCATTTAGTTCTTTCGTTATCCCTCCTCTTCCTCGTTCTCCCTCCGTGCTTCACTGCAATCTCAGTATTTTAAAAGGTGTTTGCCTTACAGAAAGTCTTTCTTTAGTGGTCTCTGATAAATCTGTGTTTTGCACAGGAAACTATTCAAATGGTAATAATTGGATTCAGCAGTTGAGAAAAATGGATGCTATAGGTATATGTGTGTGTGTATGTATATATATACACATATATACATTGAGGATAGTGCATCTGACATTGCTTGGCTCCAGTACTTAGTAATGCACAGCCAGCCTCTGAGACTGTCAWGACTATTCTCTCGTTTTCTTTCCTGTTTCACTCCAGTGCTTCCCATTTGCTGTGCTCTCCTCATGCAAGTGGTGTCAAATTGAACTTCTTATRAGAAGTTCATATGAAACCACATGAAAAAGAGTTGCTCTTAAACTGAGAGCTCCTCTGCATAAATGAATGTTTTCTAAGGARGTGGGACTGAATCCAGAGTGGTTTAGGAGTAGCAAGGAGGGCTCCGTGTTAGACTARAGGATCAACAACAGCTTAGCAAAATGGAGCCTTTTATTTGTGCTTTGTGTGCCGTGGCAATCAAAGAGCTGCATAATCCGAGAGAAATATAGATGCTTTTGTCCTCACAGGTAAGTATGGTTATGATAAAGTTACATTTATCTTCCTAGATAAACAAACACTGCATGTTTTAGAAAGGCCCTCAAAGATGCCAGTTGATCAAAATTAGGGGATGGAGAAACAAGAAGAGCTGGTGTATTTTTAGGGAGTTTTAAAGAAGAGTTGAGGAAATTAGGATGTCTGGAGAGGGATATAGGAATTCAGTAAAGATTGGTAAAAGATCAAGGTCAATGAAGCATCTTAAGAATCAGAAGTTGCAACTGAAGTCTTAGATTTCTTTTTGTCTTTTCTTCTACTTTTCTCACCTATGCTGGTTTCCTTTTCTTGACTTAAATTATCAAAAGTTCCCTTGGAAGTCCAGCTATGTTCATTTTTAATCTAGCCTAGATTGAACATTTAATATCTGAAAACAGTGGAGTGTTGTCTGTGTGGGGAAACCTTTCCAGGTCTTTGGCCTTGYGGGAAGGTAGGACTATCATCCTGTGGAAAGCAGGATGCAGACAGTATTCCAGGATTATTATAAAATAATACACATATCACATGCAGTTAAGAAACAGTTTGGTAAACTTCACCAACAGTTACCCAAGCTTTGTTTGTTGTCTGTCTTACAGCAACTTGTTATCCCAAATGCAAAAATGATGGGGAGTGCCTCAGACCTGGAAAATGCCGATGTCCGCCTGGCTATGGGGGTAGATACTGTCATAAAGGTGAGTGAAACCCAAGCAAGTGATAGGAAAAACAGGAAGCTTGAAAACTGGCAAAATATGTTTGGGGGTCCTCAAGTTTATCATTCATTTCCCCTTGGAATAATGACTACCATTCCATTGACTTTTGATCTTACTGTCAGAAGATGCTTGGCCCGCAGGATTTGCATATTTGCAGAAGGAGGGAATGAAAAGAAGAACTGGAGTTTGCTATCAGCATTTGAGAGAATATAGTCCTGCAAACAGCAACTGTTATGTACATTTTCTATCATTTAAATGATGTTTATCTGTATAACTGTAGTATCCATAAGAATAGTAATATCAGAGGCAAACTGCAATGCAAATTGCAGAGTATGCTGATAGTTAATGAGAGAGGCTGAGGCATATGAGAAGATCAATATTTTATTTGTATGAAGCCTATTGAGCCAATCTATCTATACATATGGATATATGGATTGGAAAAAATAATMCAAGTAAACCATTAGCATTGTTATGAACTGTATAGGCTAAATTCTAGGATAAAAGAGGAAGGAAGATTAAAATAACTTGAAGGGAAAATCTGGATGAGAGTAAAGGAAAACAAAGTACTATATTTTTCTTGTAGAAGAAATGTTTCAGTTTAAACTTTCCAGAAGAAAAAAAAAAAAATAAATAAAGACACTGAGTTAGCTGGGCAGTCATCACTGTGCTGAGTCAAAGAATTGGTTATTTGCTAGTACATCTAAAGGACTTTAGCTGTTCCTTTGTAAGTGATCTTTACAGCACAGTTCAGTGACTAGATAGCTGCCCCTCTCAGGATTCTCAGCTGATACTTGATGTTTATTCTATGAATATTTTCTTTATTTCCTTTTCTATGTGAAATTTCTGTACGGATCTAGCTGGCATGTAGCCTAACAGGCAATTGAAACAGGAATTTAGGTAGCTTATGCAATTCTCTAGAGTCTGGGTGCTGCTTTGTTTTGCTATTTTATTTTATTTTATTTTATTTTATTTTATTTTATTTTATTTTATTTTATTTTATTTTATTTTATTTTATTTTATTTTATTTTATTTTATTTNATTTTATTTTATTTTATTTTATTTTATTTTATTTTATTTTATTTTATTTTATTTTATTTTATTTTATTTTATTTTATTTTATTTTATTTTATTTTGTTTTTTCATAAAGCTGTATCTGATATTTTATGAAGAAGACACAACCCAGTTGTTACTAACATGGTAACATCTGTTCAAAGCTTGAACTATAGCCCTGAGATGTTAATTAGACTTTCAGAGAGTGTGAATTTAAATGCCGGTGAGAATACTTTAATATCAAAATTGTTAACATTTAAAGAAGAATGAGAACTGTGAGAAAGTGTCTTTTAATGAAAAGATCTTGTAGAACACAGTACTATTGTATAATAATTCACTTGGAAATAACCATTTCAAGCAGATATTGACAGAATTGGCACCAATGAGSTAAAATGGAGCATGGTCAGCTCCATTTTCCAGCATGAAAATTTATTTATTATTTAAAAGCCAAATAAAGGTGTAGATTGCTGGGRTTGTCCATATAAGGGGGAACTTCTCAGTAGAGTCCAGATCAGAAGCAAGGTGAGAGGTACCATTTGACTAGGAAAAGCAGAGTGAAGATTCAGTCTATGTTTCTGCTGTAGTCTGGGTGGGGATATTTGCTGTGGTGCTCAAACGCTGTCTGTGTTGTGCTGTGTCAGCTGGGTATGGGGGCATATGGGGCCTGGAGGTGGAGATGTGATGTGTGGTGCAGTGTGCTTTTAAATACATCTTTCTTTCTTCCCTTTCTCTCTTTCTCTCTTTCCATATTCAGTCTTTCTGAGCTAAATGCTCACCAAGCTCTTAAGCACACATCTAATTATCAGTGCATTTTGAGTCAGTGTTTTATAGATGTGGTTCTGTCAGCTTCACCCTCTCTTTATGGAACTCTGCCCTGCGCTGAATAATTGAAATTGTATTCTTTGCAGAAGTGATAAAGTAATAGAGAAGCTATTTAAAGATAATTGTTTGCAGTTTTGTGCTCTTCCTGAAATGAAGCAGCATGTGCTGCTTTTTTTCCACAGTGAGCTGTGAAGGGGGCTGCCGGAACGGAGGGCAGTGCATCTCTGTCAACGGCGTCGTGAAGTGCCTCTGTGCGTCTGGCTGGACGGGATCAAGGTGCCAGGAAGGTGGGTGGCTGAATTCACCTGCTTTGCASTCAAATCATGGAACTCAAATGCTCTCCATGCCCGTGGCCTCAGACAAGTTCAGTAGGAAGCCTCAGGAGAGATCAGTGGAAGCAGAAAGAATCTGCTAGATAAAATTGCTGTGGTTATCTCGTTTTTTTGGGTTTTTTTTTTTTCCACTATGTCCTGAAGAACAAAGTTCTTACTCATGTGATATGTGTAAAAAGCAAAACACGAACTGCTAAGCCAAGCCTGTGTGTCTGTCAGGAAGAGTTGAAGAAACTCTTCTCCCAGTTAAAATGTCTGAGTTTGGTGTATGGGTGTTAACATGGAAATGCAGAATGCATTGTTTATTTAAATAATGAAAATACTTTTGTCAATTAAAATATAGCTGCAATATTAAAAAGCATTTTAAAAGAATTAATGGGCTGATAATAATGGAAGTGCCATTATRTTACTATAGAAGTGGAGGACTTGCACTACAGGTAAATATGCAGATAAAAAATATCAAGTTATTTTGCATTATTGTAAATTTGTTAAGATTTAACCCCAAATTCTTAGCTTACTTTTAAAATCTGTATCTTTTTGTCCTGGAGATGATTTTACAGTTATACTAGTGGAGTATCTGTCCTTAGGGCGGGGGAAAAAAAAGAACATTCTTCCATTTTGATTAGTATCATCCTGAACATTTTGTTGTCAGGATTTCTTTATATCAGCCTTATAAATCCTCTTAATTTTTTCCRTGCATTCCTTCCAGCAATTTGTCCTCAAGGCTGTCGGAATAACGGAGCTTGCGTGGCTCCAGGGATTTGTAGCTGTCCTGCTGGCTGGGTCGGTGGAGCTTGTCACTTAGGTAAGTGGCTTCTGCCTTTTCCTTCTGGTAGTGCTTTCTGGACTTGCTTGAATTACCAGCATCGTTTCCGAATCTTCGGGCCCTAACAAAGCTGCTAGGGTGGTGCGTCGCGTGAGAGTGGATTCTGTGTACTGAGGACGCTGAATGTAGAGTATAAGGCATAAGTAGCTTGCCAGGTTGGTCATAAAAATGAGACTGTTGCAGATCCAAGTTTTGGTTGTAGAGCAGGGCAGAAGAGCAGCCGCTGGTGGCAGCAAGGTCACCATTTCCCCGTAGGTGCCGAGATCACAGAATCACAGAGTCTTCAAGGTTGGAAGGGACCTCTAGAGATCATCTAGTCCAACCTTCCTGCTCAAGCAGGGACACTTAGAGCATGTGGCACAGGCAGGTTTTGAAGACCTCCAGATCCAAGAACTGCCCTAGAAAATTCCAGCAGGAGCCTTTGCTACCCTCACTGACCTCGCTACTTGGCCTGAGTGGTTCCTCAGGTCAGTGGATGTCCATCCTCAGGTCAGGAGGTCCATCAGTGGATGCCCTCATGGTGGTATCCACCTCCAAAACAGTCTGTCCCATAACAACAGGAATGATAGTATTTTAGAAGGGGAATGGAGCATAAGTAAGACCTGGCATACCGGCACTGTATTGCAGGGCAGGCTGCGAGGCCATAGACTGAGGGATGTTGAGAGGCGCTGGATTTCAGCTCCTCCATTAGCCTTTCACTTATCCCATCCGCTGGCTTTCACTAGGGAACAATTCATGGAGGGAGGCAGGGAAGGGACGGAGCGTGGCGTGGGAGCCATGTGCCTGTGTCTGCTGTCTCGTTTCAGCCGTGTGCAAACTGCCCTGTGAACACGGAGGGAAATGCGTCGCTCCAAAYGTGTGCAGGTGTCGACCACCCTACTCCGGTCTCCAGTGCACAAAGAAAAGGAAGGAATGAAGCAGCCTCAGTGAAGACGAGCTCCATTTTCCTTGTGTAGCTCTTCATATATAGATGGCGTCCAGAGCGACACTCAGGGGGCAGGAGGGGGACGCAACGTGGGAACTGATTTCATGTAATGGAGCTTTTTTCTGTTTCACATAGATTAAATAAAGGCTCTTATACAATGGAAAATTCTTCAGATGGTAACAAAGGTGTTGTGAGTATCTAAGTATATCCTGTGTATATAGTGTATTGCACAGGTTGTTTTTTGTTCTTATTTTCCTTCAGAAGCAGAATTACTTTTTTGTAATAGTTGATAGAACTGACCTTGAAGTAAAATTTGCTCTCTGAATAAAGTACTTCAGAATGGATCTGTGCTCTTCTTTCTGACTTTATTTTTCCTCTGGTTAGAATTATCTTCATATATTAATGATGTGCTTTTTTATTTAAAAAAAAAAACCCTTTAATTCAAATAACCAGAAGTGGGCATTAGTTCAAGTGTTACTTATCTTTAATAAGATTACACAGTTGCAAGAATAAACTTGCAGAATTTGCATCTTTCYGGAGCATTTGCAAACTGCAAAGCATCATGTTCAAAGATCCTGGTTATCGCTTTATGAACATGTCTCCTCCTGCCACAGTCTGATTTGGATCTTGATCAGTTGTGTCTTATAACATGCCTGTTCAGATGATCCATCCTTACCTACTACAAGCTTAATCCATACTGATATGGGAGTCCTTACGTTGACTACTTCTACTATTATATTATCTGATCATCTCTCAACTTCTGATTTATTTCTTTTTCTTATCCCTGTAAGATAGGGAGATAGATTGTTCAGTTTTATGAGTCATTTTTCTTTGAGATCTTGTCTTTGCAGTAGGCAAATAATGGAGGGCTGGAAGCAGGCAGTGAAGAGGAGCTGATGCCTGTGCTGAACAGCCTCTGTGGACGACGCTGAGGCTCTTCTGCTGACACATCCCACCAATCAGGCCTCATTTGGGTTCTGCGGTCCTCTGAACAGGCTGCAGATCTGACCGAGGCTCCTGCATTCGTTGAACACTACAACTTGAGGAAGGTTCTGCCAAAACACCCCAGCTGAACCTGTCTACTTACCAAGTGTTGCCCAGATCGGTATTTTGAGAACTTTCTGTTATCTTGTAGATGATTCTATAATGTTCAATATGAGAATGCTAGCTACATGTTATTGTGATTTTTACTTCTGTGTAACTACGTTACCAGAATGTGTAGCCTTCCATGGCAGAGCATAGCTCATGTGGGGACGTTTCTCCAGAGAGGAAGTGCTACCAAGCACTGAGCAGAAACAAATGAAATGGAGTATTCTCCTTTACCAAATTTCTCTACAGGTGAGAAGCTAAGCATGCTACAGATAGAAGAAAGCTGTACTATATCGCACTAAATTGTGCTGAATTCATTGTCTCCTACAGGGTTCCTATTATCTGTTATCAAACAATTGCTGTGTAATAGAGAAATTTCCCTTTGCCCTTGCTTGGAAGGCTGTTGCGTTTCATTCAGATACAACCTGCCACACGTGGGTCTTCTGTAGGTTATGCTGCCAGGAATAGGGATGTATTTTTTTTGTGCTGCTTTTGCTACAAAACATTTTAAGTTTCGGTCATTCTAGTGAAAAATGTGGTTTTGATGCAAGAAATGAGATTGTTTCATCTTTAGTTCTGCGGTTGGCTTTGTGGTAGTGGAATTTTGTATTACAGCTCATTGCAGATTTTAGGCCATAACTGAGTAATTCAGGAGTTGCATTTTATATCTTGGATTAAACACCGATAGCAGGGGAGTAAGACATTTCTGCAATGCCTCAGACCCAAGTTTCTGAGTTAGTGAACAGAAGTTAGTACACAGAAAGAGGCCCAATATCTCAGTATTGGTCTTGAGAAGATGGAGTTGTACTCAAAAAGTCAAAAATGACAAGAGTGGAGAGCAGAAGCCTGAAAGAGATAATGGCAGCATGTGAAGCAAAGCAGCAGGAACAGTGAGAGAGAGAGGCCTGGAATTGATGTCTCTGATGAAGCAACTGAAAATGATGAATTAAATAGTTCAGTGTTTAGAAACACCAAGTAAACAAACAAACAAACCAAGTAAACACCAAGTAAAATTTTGAAGTGAAGTAAGCAGCATGATGATGATGGATTTTAGAAATACTGCTTGAATATGGCACCATCTACTGGCCTTTTTTTTTTCTCTTTTTTTTTTAGGGAAAAAATATTTTAAAAATTCAATAGATTTTGAGTCAATTTAAAAGTTTTTTTTATAAGTGATTTCAAGGTAGAACAGAATCAGAGTGTATTAGAAATGAGTCCACATCCCCAAATGATTGCTTTTGCAATTCCACATATATCTTTTAATAGAGCTGTCAGTATGCATTTGCTTGTTTGTTTCTCAAAGTAAGTTTGTTCTTTTCTTGTTGTTCCTGCTCACTGAACACAGTGGACACACTTAATAATTCCAGCATGTAACATTTTGGAACTAGGTGTCCCCTTCYGGGAAAAGGTAGCTCAAACTTCTTGAGATATGGCAAAAAATAAAAATCATTTACCCTTGTAAGTCCYTTATTCACAGAGCTAACAGTAATAGACAAAAACTTGTACAGATGCTCTGATATTCACTAAAAAATGCCTAAAAAATTGCAGAGGAAGTGTTTTTGCTTGTTTGTTTTGTGCAGCTTTACCTGTTCATGTTTTTGGAGTGTACAGACAGTGAGAAGGATTTCTTTCTTTTTTAATCTACTTAAATGTACATTTCACCATTGACATTTCCCCTTCCACTGTCAGTGGCTGTAGCAGGAACAGTTACCTGCAAGATAACCTTAGTCACAAACTCTTTAATAGTCCTTTTCTTTWAAAAAAAAAAAAAGACCTGTGGGGTTGGTAGTTAAGTAAACTAAACCAGCACGATGCCACATGATACCTTGTTACACAAGAAACAGAACAAACATGTTTGGTTACTATTGTTCTAAGCTACGGGTCACTATTGCTCTAAGCTATGAGAATATACTGATGCTTATAAAAGGAAAGAACCTTTAACGTGTTCCACGCTTCTAAAAATCTTACCTAATTTCCTACAAGTGTAGGAAATAAAGTCCTTGCTATATTGTCTGTGATACAGGTCATTCACCACACTTCAGCAAACATTCATTATACTGCATTTTAAAAATCTTYACAAAAGCATAGGCAAAATCCAATCTGTAATTACATGGTGAGCTACTGCTGGTCTGAAGAGCAGTTTTAATGCAACCAAATAAACAATGTGTGATGTCCTGTATTTTCCCAGATTGGAATTTGAAATTCAAGGAAATCATGTAAGAAAATTTGGTGAAGATATCATTATTACTGCATGGCTTATTAATTTTATCTCCTGCTTGCTTTCCTCTTTTTCCATGGCTACTAGTTTATAGCAATTGAACTCAACACACTTGTTACTGATGGAAAGACKTTGACTCACACCAACTGCAAGGATTTCTACAAAAACACCTTCCTCTTGCTACGTCWTTCTCTTGAGCTAAGAATCACCATAAGGTCTTCAGTTTGGCACGAGTTATCCTCCATTGCAGTAGACAGGAGCTGCAGTGACTCCTKCAATATGCTCCCCTCTGCCCTCCAAAAGCCCCAAGCTTCTCAACCTAATTTCATATTACATCTTGCAATTTTAGAACAATTTTGACAAGCTGTGCACGAAAGCTCCACATGGGCCTCTCCTGTCTAACTACTGTGCACTTAAATAGAACAAATTTACTGTGCTGTAGGAATATGCTTTCTAATTGCAATAAAAGGATTCTATTTCATGTATATCATGGACAACCTAGTGACAAGATAGTTTCAAAAAATCACATAATTACCAGGCACTTCTGATGTGTTTGTCTTTATGYATATACCAGTACTTTTTCTGCTTCATGTTGTGTTCAACTTTTCACAGAGCTCTAGTCTGCCAAAACTCTGGCTGTTTTAGCACAGCTTGTGTTTGGAAAAATAGGGAAAAAAAAATTGTCTTTAGAAACACTGAAAATAAGTAAKGCAAAAAGTCACGATTTAAAAAAGTCTTTTATTCAGCCTGAAATGCTGGAAAGGCACACAGATTCACATAGTCGGTGAGTGAGGGGCCAAAATACTATTAACAATGTTCCCGGCAGCTATYACATCTCTTCTGCATCTAATATCCCTGTAGCTAAATGCCACTTGGACTAGGATTAATACAAGATGAGCTCAGGTAATACTGGTGTATCTACGTTTAGAAACATCTTCAGCACCCTGTGATTGTGTACTTAAGGTATCATCGCATGGCATCAGTTCCAGAAGCTACCACTTACCAGAGGAACACTCAGTGTTTGTTCACAGAGATATTTGTGAGTTCAGTGGAGTAGATTTTAAATARTAGTAGAAGTTCCCAGCAGATTGAAGAAGCTGCTGGGTTAAAAACAACAACAACCACCCACCCTACTGAAACAGTGACTTATCCGAAACTTAAAATGCAAGTAGAAAATTGAAAGTAGTTTTGAAAGACACCACTCAAAAATAAGAACGACAGCAGTATTATTCCAGAATGATGAGAACATCAACTTTGCAAAATGACTTCTGAAGACTATCAAGGTGAAGAGAGATCTAGGTTTGACATCAAGTATCCCACAGTAGCAGTAAATCTCAAAATTGGCTTGATGTGCCTATGTAAATTGGTAATTGCTCAAAAAAAAAAAAAAAAAAAAAAAAAAAAAAAAA